TTGAGGTCATCGCAACTCCTGCCCTTGTCTTCCTCTTCGTTACTTCCAGAAACAAAGTTGTTGTTTTTCCTGATAAAAATACATGTTTGTGTAGAAAATTAAAATGTACACAAAAAGGAAAAGTCTTCCTAAACCGCACACCGACTTCTGATTAAGAATGTGGGCACAGCCGGGCTCGGTGGCTCAGCCTGTCATCCCGCACCTTTGGGAGGCCGAGGTGAGTGGATGGCCTGAGCCCGCGGGTTCGAGACCCGCCTGGGCAGCGAGACCTCATCTCCACAGTAAATCAAAAACTCAGCCGGGCGTGGTGGCGCATGCCTGTAGTTCCGGCTACTCGGAAGGCTGAGGCGGAAGGATCGCCGGAGCCCAGCGGGTCAAGGCTGCAGTGGCCGGAAGCGGCCACTGCACTCCAGTCTGGGCAACAGAGTGAGACTCTGACTCAAAAAGAAAAAAAAAAAAGAATGTGGGCACAAGAACCGAATCGCTGCCCTGCAACTTAGAATCTGCATGACCATGGGCCAGTTGCTTCTGTGCCTGTTTCCTACCTGTGAAGTTGGAGATAATATCTTACTTCGTTGGGTTTTGGTTAAGATTAAATGAGTTAATAGCTGCAAAGGCCTCCAAATGACCAAGAGATGTTTCAATTTTCTTTTTCTTTCTTTCTTTTTTTTCTTATCAAGCTGGGTGTGGTGGCATATCAATTTTCTTTTTTAAACCTTAGAGTTGGAGTCACTCCTTAGTCCACCACGCTCATGGCCACCGCAGCCTCAGCCGGCTGGGCCCAGGTGATCCTTTCGCCTCAGGCTTCCAGGTAGCTGGAACTGTAGGCGTAAAACACCATGCCTGGCTGATTTTTTGATGTATTGTAGAGACGAGGTCGTGTCAAGTTGCCCAAGCTGGTCTTCGACCCCTGAGCTCAGGCAGTCCTCTCACTTCCACCTTCCACAGTGCTGGGATTACAGGCATGAGCCACCACGCCTGGTCGGTTTCACATTTGAGGAGATAACCTTCTGGTCTCCCTCTCCGAACCTGTGTGTATACATGTATAAATATACTGTGCTAGTGTGCAGATACGAATAAGCCAAGAGGAGACATATTTCAAACCAGCGACTTTTCATCTGAATGAGGGGTCGTGACCCCCTTTCCTGACCTCCGTATTGCTTGGCAGCTACCTGCCACCCCATGACACGCTGGCTTGAATGGAACTGAATCCGTACTGTTGGGCGTGCAGGTTTCCAGTTTTGCCTGAACATCGTGCATTTTAAAACAAAGCTGAGTAGTGGTGGTGCCACGAATAGTGTCTGGGTGACAGGTGCTTCTGGCTCTCTTTGGAGCATACCTCATCCTCCCTCTGCGGGTGTGAGCTCACAACTTGCCTTCGTTCCCAGTGAGGCGACCCATGAACTTCTCCTATGCCTGCCCTGAGTGGGGAACTCAGACTCTGGGTTCCCCCCACCCCATTTAAATCTAGAAAAACCATGTTTCTGTGTTTAATATCTCTGATCTGAATCATCTCCTGGTTCCCAAGAAATCACAAATCAGAACGTCCTCTTGTCCCGTTCTTACTGTGTCTGAGGTGCTCCCTAAGAAGTCTGTCGATAAAGGGGGGCAGAGGGGAAGCCTGTTCCCTGTCTCCCATGATGGGCCTCGAAATCCTGTCCTGTAGGGCAGAGAGCTGCGGTCACTGTGCACCGTGATATGCAGCATACCCTACCATTTCAGTTTTATGAGTTTCTGGTGGGACATGCCTATTTGATGATTTTATCGATGCAGAATTCCTCCTGCTGATCTCAGTGGCAGAAACTGTTGATTAGTCCGCCCTTAATTTCCTCCCACCCGCCCCTCCACTGCCTTTTGCCACCGGCAAACCAGCAGATTGTGTTTGGAAACGCTGCTTTGGCCTGTCCACCCCCACCTTCAGGTGCACTGTATATGCAGGCTCAAGGGGTGTACTTGTCTATTGTATCTGAGCTCCAGGAGGCAGAAGAGTGATGGGCAGAAGCGATTTGGGGTCAATAGTCTCTTGTGGTATTTACCTCTTGAAAGGTTTATGGCTTGAGTGAGATTTTCCTCCTACCGTCTTAGAGAAGAAATCCCGGAGTGCTGGAAGCCTGGCATTTTAAACCGTGCACATTCTAAAGAAACTCGGCTGCATGTCAGGACATTTTGACTGACTAATCTCAGACACAGACATTTTCCTAAGACATTTAAGGAAAAGGCTCCATGTTTCACTCGAATTTAGGGAGTATATCATCACCCTCAGAAAGAACCTATTTAGGGTGATGTGTCTGCCAAAAGTAGAGAGGGGCCGGTATGTCTTAAGAGGCGTGCTGGAATGGCGTCAGGACTGAGAGGAATAATGTGTGTATTCCACATTTGTGAAAGTCAAAGCATCAGTTGCTCTCTGCGGTGTTTTCCAAAGTGCTTTTTAATTAGTTTCCTTCTGACACCCTCCTTTCGCTGATGAGGAAGCTGAAACAATGAGAGGTTAACTGACTAGCCTTGGGCCTTCTGCAGTGAGATTGACCCAGCCGGAATTTTCAATTTCTGCCGTCTGGAAGTCTGGTTTTCCACGCCCAAGACTTTGCAGAGCCAGGACTGCCTCAGCGAGGCAGGAACAGCTCCCAACCAAGGAAGGGGCATATTGTTCAGCCATATTCTTGCGGTCCTGTTTGGGGACTGTAGAGGCAGAGACCGCTGGTCTCTTCAAAGTCACAGTCCATGATCCTTGACCTAGAAACTGTCCTGCTAACTTGAGCTCAGCTGTAGGAGTGATGGGTGGCAGAAATAAATTATTTGGGGCTCAACTGCTTAGTCTTGGCAGGGGGCCCTTTAAATTTGAAATGTAAACTTGACATCTACAAAGGGTTTAGGAATTTGATGCCATTTTCTCTCGACAGTTCACATTGGCCTTTTCTGTAGAGGAGTTACTAATTACCCCTGGTGTGCTCCCTGTTAAGGGTTCTCTACAATTTAGATACTGTAAAATATGTAATTAGGACTCTAGAGATGGCTTCTAATACAGAGGGTCCTTGCATCTCTTCCTTCTGCCCCCAACAGACCTACTGAAGCTTTTTTTTTTTTTTTTGGATCTTGGCTCACTGCTTCAGGCAAAGCAGAGGATCATCACTACAAAGCTAGGTTGGTGGTGCCGTTGGTGTCGGGGTCTTGAATAAGAAGTCACCATACTTGATGCTTCTGTTATCCTTGTGTCTTGAATGTACTTTTCCTCTGGCTCCTTGAAGGCCAACCAATAATTAGCCAAATTACTTGCAAGAGCAAGCTGAGTAAGAGCAAGGAAAGCCTGGAAATTAGAGGCAGCCACTTCGGCTGAATCCCTACTCGGCTGCTGACTGGCTACGTAGCCTGAGACTAGCGGGGCCTTACTTTTGAGCCTCAAGCTTTCTCGGCTGTAAAAATCGGGACGGCGACCTCACTGCTGAGCCGTGAAGCCACGCTGCCCGACGTCCACTTCACAGGCAGAAGCAGATCCAGTTCTGGCCCCGGCAGAGTTGGCACGTGGCCTCAGGCGAGGTTGCCCCTGTTCCGCGGCCATTCAGACCACCCTCTTCTGCACCCAGTGGTTTTCCTGACACATGGGGTGAGCGGAGAGGTGCCGCCTGGGGCTCAGACTCCCTCTGTTTCACCGGCCAGGAGGTTAGGGCTAGTCACCACGGGAGGGTGAGGCCAGACTGACATGACCTTTCTTTCTGTGTGTTCTGTCCGGAGCAGGGCTTCCCGGTCACCTCCCTGGCCCTTTGCTTCCCGGATGGAAGCAGAGGAGAGTCGGGGTGTGTGTGAACGCCCGCTCTCCGAAGACAGAAGGATGGGCTCCGATTCCGAGAACTCCGAGGACTGGGACGGGGGCCCCGAGGAAAGCGGCACCGGCTCGCATGCCCCGGAGGCCGACGAGCGAGACGCCCGCCTGGAGCTGGCGCGCGGCCCCGACCCGCCCGACTCCGGGCAGCGGGAGGCCGGGCCTGGCGTCCGCGCAGGTGAGCAGAGAGCCGGGGCCCCTCGAGGCCGCCTCACGCGCGCCGAAGCCGCGCTTCTGCAGCCGCATGCCCGGGCGGCCGTCTCTGCGGGGAGCCGGCTCGCGGAGGCCTTGAAGCCGACTCAGGCGGGGCCGGCCTTTCTGGAGCTGGGGGGCCTCCTCTGCCCTCGTCGTCGGGCCTGAGGGGCTGGGCGGGAGGCCGGGAGAGCCTGCCCCGCACGACAGCCCGTGGCCCAGGTCGTCTCAGGACCCCCACGGGCTGCCGAGTTGACGCGTCGTGGCGCATCGGCGGCGACGTGGCCCAGGGCTGGCTCGGCAGGCGGCTGCGGCCGTCTCCCGTCG